AAACCTAAAATGCAATAAAATAAATAAATGGAAAAAAAAAAGAAAAAACAATTGACAAACTTTTGTGTTCAGTAATAAAATAATTCATATTCTTTTCAAGTGCACATAGGCTATTTTTGCCAAAATTGATTATATGTGAATCCAAAAGAATATCTCACAAGTGTTACATGAACAAAACTTCCAAGTATGTTCTCTGAATGAAAAGGAATAAAATTAAGTTCAATAATAAAAAGATAACTAGAAAAAGAACAAGTTGCTAAGACAAAAAAATTCTAAATACTCCTAAGTCAAAAAAGAAACAAAAATTATGAAAATATTTTTAAGTAAATAATACAGTTTGAGTATTCCTTCTCTGAAATGTGTGAGACTCAGAATGCTTTGGATTTTGGATTTTTTTTTAATTTTGGAATATTTGCATTATACTGATTAAGCATCTCTAATTCAAAAATTTGAAATTGAAAATGTGCCAATGAGCATATCCTTTGAGTGTCATGTCAGCACTCAAAGAGTTTCAGATTTTGGAGCATTTCAAATTTCAGATTTTTGGATTAGGGATAGTCAATCTGTCATAGAGAAATGACCTGTGAAAGTTTACATAATCCAATCGAAGCCATTCTTTGAAGGAAATATCTGGCCTTGAATGCATCTTTCAGAAAAGAAGAAAGGCTAAAAACAGATGCATTTTGTTTTCATCTCTAGAATCTAGAAAAGAGTAAAAGAAAATTGAAGTCAATAAATTATAGTAACAGCAGAAATCACTGAGAGAAAATAATTAGGTACAGTAATATACTAATGTTGGTCAAAGAAAATGCAAATTACTGCAGTCCTTAGAGATATCAAAAATATAGCCTGGGTGTGGTGGCTCATGCCTGTAATTTCAGCACTTTGGGAGGTCCAGGTGGGAGAATCACTTGAGCTCAGGAGTTTAAGAACAGCCTGGGAAACATAGCAAGATCTTGTCTCTACTAAAATAAATAAATACATAAAAATAATTTAGCAGGGCGTGTACCTGTAGTCCTAGTTACTTGGGAGGCAAAGGCTGGAGGATCACTTGAGTCCAGGAGTTTGAGCTTGCAGTGAGCTATAAGTGGGCCACTATACTCCAGCCTGGGTGATAGAGTGAGACCTGATTTCTCTCACTCTCTGTCTCTATCTCTCTATATAAAATATACAGTTACATATTCTTATATGTAATCTTTTAGAAGACAGTACTATGAACAACTTTATACAGAATTTCATCAAGAACAATTAAGATAATTACAGGCTAATATAGCCTGAACGTAGATGCAAAAATTTCCAACAAAATGGTAAAATAGAATCCCGTGATATATAAAAGAATAATGCATCATAACAAAAGGAGTTTTAAAAGCAAATTGTAGGATTAAAATGAAATACTTGAAGATATAGTCAATTAACACACACACACACAAAAAGCAGAAAAAGGACAGAGGGCCAAAAGTAAATGAGATCAATGAAAAGCAGAGCAAAATTCAAGACTTACAGCCAACCAAGCTGATAATTATATTAAACATAATTTGGCTAAACACACTAATTAAAAGATAGAGATTGTTGGGATGAATAAATAAAAGCACAATTAAATATTACACCTAGAAGATAAAACATTAAATATAAAAGCACAGATAGATTGAATGTAAATAGGTAGAAAAAGCTATACTATGGAATTTGTAACCTTAAAAAGCAGGACTGGTTATATTATCAAAGTGATCATATTATCAAGACAAGTAGTAGAAAAATAGAAGGATGTTTTATAATGATAAAATAGACAATTTATCAAAAATACTTAACAATCCTGAAGGTGTAAAAGACTAATCATTATGACTAAAAATAAATAAAGTAAAATTAACAGAACTAAAGCAAGCGGTAGGCATAGCAAACATTTAAAACGCCCCTGTGCCGTGACCTGCATGTGTCCCCTCCAAAGTCTGCATGTTGAAACTTAATTGCCAGTGTGCCAGTATTAAGAGGTGGGTCTTTTAGGAGATAATGAGGGCAGACCTCTCATGAATGAGATTAATGACCTTATAAAAGAGGTGCGAGGAAGCTATTCATCCTTTTTGCCCTTTCACCTTCTATCGTGTAAGGACACAGCATTTGTCTCCTCTGGAGGATGCAGCAACAAGGGGCTACCTTGAAAGCAGAGAGCAGATCTCAGCAGACAGGTTTATCTTCAACTTCCCAGCATCCAGAATTGTAAGAAAATAAATTTCTATTGTTTATAGACTACCCAGTCTAAGGGAATTTGTTATAGCAACACACATGGAATAAAGAGCCCTCTCATGGTAATTGCTAGAAAAAGTAGACAAACACTAGTGAAGATATAGAAGATCTGAGCAACACTGTCAAGACACTTGATCTAGTTGACCCTTCTAGAACCTTACATCTAACTGCAGACTAAACCTTCTTTTCAAGTTCATGTGGAACATTTGTCAAAATTAATTATGCTCCAATTTACAAAATTATTCTCAGTAAATGCCTCATTTTTAAGATGAATGTGATAGTCTTTTGTGACTTTCCACATTCAACCAAAAATGAAAGTGCCTTTTTGTAGGTAGGAAGGAAGGAAGGAAGGAAAGTAGGAAGGAAAGAAGGAAGAAAAAAAGGAAGGAAGAAAGGAAACCAAATAGAAAACTTTGCAATTCTTTCATGTTTACATTTCCTAAAATGCTGAAATATTTTTGTGAATTTTCTAACAAAATCCAATTTTGGATCTCATTTCATTAAAACTATAATTTACAAAGTTTTGTCATCCTTTTATATTTAAGCCTAAATCCCGAAATATGGTATACCTCTTTGGATATTCTTTGACATAATCCACACAATGTTTCATAATTTTAACAAATATAGTCCTTATTTATTACTTAACAGATTTCCCTATCTCTCTGTTTTTGTCAACTTTAGAAATGGGAAAATATTGTTACAATATATTTTATAATGAATTTCGGTTGAAATGTAGGAAAACTCATGTTATTTAAATGTGTATTTTATATACAGTACCATTTCTAAATTACGTTAGAATCTGAATACTATGTCTATTTCTCATTTCATTTTGTTTTTATAGACAATGGTTCCATCTCCACTTTGTTCTTCTCCCCCTTCAAGAATGATAATAAAAGCAGGGAAAAAAGGTTTGATGAAATGTTAACAATA